CCTATGGACAGCCCAGGAGCAAAAGGATTAATAATCATTCCACAATCTCCTGAGCATACCTGTTTTCTTTAACAAAAAAGAAAAGAAAAAAAAAAGCACTAACATTCTAGCACAAAAGATATCGCTTACATTTGCGTTCTGGGGAATCATTAAAACATAAAACTTCTGATAAGTTCAACAAGGATGCGGAAAGTAACCCGAGAAAAATTCACATCTGGACTCAGGCTTTGTCTAGCAAAGAAAATTTACCCATTTAATTACACTGCCACAGCTAATTATGCCAGTAAATTTCCCCAGAGGCAACGAGCCCTTAAAAAGCAAACAGAGTGAAAAGGAGAGGGAAAAAAGGCTCTGCTGTAATCTCTTCTATCCCCTGGCAGGACAGAAAATGATCCCAGGGTGTCCACGTCTATGATTATGATCCACGGTGCAAATTTAAATGCAGGCAGCTAGCAGCCATGTTCCAGGCATGCTGCACCAGAGGTGGCATTCTTAAAAAAATAAAATAGTGCCTTTAAATTAAGAAGAAAAACGATAAAATATAGGTATGCAGTGAACGGGAAAAAAAAAAAAGAAGAAATCACCATTCACATGTCATTTTGAAATATGAATATTTTTAGTACTACCCAAGTTATTCTTGTAAACATTTATTTTCCTGCTACAATAACAAGCACACAACATTCGAGCTAACATCCTTTCCTTAGTTTTGAAATAAAACTGAAATAAAATATCCAATTCCAGCCAAATCATGCTCCTTCATCGTATTTCCACACACGACCCCGCACACGAACCGCACGATCCCCTGCGGAAGCCAGAGGCAGTGGAGAGAGGCGCCTCGAGGCCCCGTTCCGCGGGGGGCAGCGACGATGATGATGATGCTGCCGCACGGGAGGAAGGCGCCTTCGCGGCGGGCAAGTTTGCAGCAAGGGGTCGGGCAGCAGGTTCGCACAGCGCCTCGGCCCGTTACACAACGGCAACCTGCCCCTGAAAACCGCTAGCGGGACTCCAGCTCCGGGAGATTAATATATATGTGCAGGTACGTGTATATAGATCTATATTTATATACACGTACCTGCACATAAAGAGGTGCCACAGCGAGGGGAGCCCACAGGAGCAGCCCACGGAGGGGCTGGGCCTGCCCCGAGGGTGCTGCAAAGATCAATATGGGGGCAGTTACAGGAAAAAAGGAATAAAAATACAAAAAAAATATATATATAAAAGGGATGGGGGTAGTTTTCACCGCCCCCCCCTTTTTTTTAAAATATTTTTCATTTTTTCCCCCTTTTCTCCCACGCAGCAGGGAGGCCCCGCTCGCCCCGCGGTACCCGGCGGCCCCGTTTCCCCTCTCTCCTCCCCGCCTTTCTCCCCGGGCCTCCGCCCGCGCGGGGCCGCCAGGCTGGCGCTGGGCGGGATCCCCGCGCCCCGGCC